TGTGTGCATCCTAGCTATGCAGAGGCCGGGTATGTGCTCATCGTGTTTGTATCTTCTTGATGCTCCATTTTGAGTTAATAAAATCCATCCTTTATCGGGAAAAAAGCTGATATTGGGTATGGAGGTTCTAGGGTGGGATGCAACTGGCTGGACGCGAGGGTCATCGTCGTGTGGGCGCCCAAGGTATAGTAGAATGGTAGTGGCGAAAGGTCGAAGAATTAAAGGGGTAGAAGAGAAGCATAGGTAGGGACCAGCCATTTCATTGCTTGCTTCCTTCTATAAGGATGCATACGAGGGGTATACATCCTTATATCGACCCTTTAGGTCGGTTACTGTTCATTGAACTAAATAGTAATTCTCTGGATACTTCTAGACTATGTTGGGTCCATATAAGAGACAACTAGACTCTACCCCACAAACAGACTCTTCTACTAGGACACTTATACCCTTGATACTTCTAGACTAGGTTAGAGCATCTCCACTCGTTGGCGCCCCCAGGAGGTCTTTTTTTCGCCACTTGGGGTCGCACCGGCGGAATTTTAGGCTTCAGGAAGCAAAATTTCCCAGCCGTCGCCCCACCCAAGATGCATTCCGAGGACGCATGGCGGCACCCCGCAGCTCGACACCGTCTCGAGCACCATCGAGGACGCCCGCCACCGTCCGCCGCGCACCACCAGCCCTCCGTCCTCGTGCCCTCCGTCCATCTCCCTCCGCCCCGGCCGTGCGAGCGCGACCCCGCCCCGGCCATGTGCTCTCTGCTCCTGCCGCGCGAGCTCCGCCACAGCCGCGCGAGCGCGAACCCCGCCACGGCCATGCACGCTCTCCGCTCCGCGCCGGCCATGCGTCCGCTCCGGCCGCGCGAGCGCGAGCTGCGCCACGGCCGCGGGAGCTTGAGCTCCGTGCCGGGCACGTGCGCTCTCCGCGAAGGGCCATGCGAGCTCGCTCCGGCCGCGCAGCTTCGGCCTTGACAGAGAGCGTGGGGAGCGCGGCTTCGAGGCGGATCCGGGCGTGGGCACCGTCTCCGTGCCCCGCCACCGTCTCCGCGTGGATGGCCCGGCCGCGTCGCTGGGCTCTCGCCCGGCTGCTGCAAGGGCTGGAGGCGCGCGCGGGTGGAGCCGGACGAGGCGGCGAGCAGACCCGGCCACGCTTCCCAACGGCGGCCTCGGCGCCCCCCTGGACTGGAGCCGGCCTTGGTCCTGGCCATGCGCGGAGACGGCAGAGACGACCACTGCAAGGCAAAGAAGACGAGCCCCTCCCTGCCCCGGGCATGCGCGCTCCGCTCCGCTCCGCGAGCCCCTCCCCGGCCGCGCGAGCTCGAGCCCCGCGCCCGGCCATGCGTGCGCCGCCACGGTCGCGCGAGCCCCGCTCCGGCTGTGTGTGTCGTAGGTGGTGCTGGGGAGAGAGAAGGTGGGAAGGAAGGAGATGGTCGAGTGGAGGCTTTGACCGCGCGAGCGCGAGCCCCGCCCCAGCCATGTGCGGCGAGCTCGATGGCGCGATGGCGCGATGGAGGCTGGCAGGGAGGGGGCCGAAGAGGCGGCGAGCTCGGTGGCGTGCTGGAGCGGAGCTCTGCTTGCGGAGAGAGAGGGGGGGGGGCAGATTCCTTTTGCATGCAGGAAAAGGGGAGAGAGAGGTTGGCTGGTGGGGTTTCACCATGCATAAAGTAGGGTCGGGCGTCCCAAGTGCCTCCCTGGGGGCTGGGTTTTGCATGCGGTCGCCGGCGCTGTTTTTGCTAGAATCTGGCGCAAAACGAGGTCGTGGGGGCGTGACTGGGACTATTTTTTGCAGCCGGCGCTAAAAAAAGTGCTTGGGGGCGTCTTGGGGAGCCTAGTGGAGATGCTCTTAGGTTCATCTAGGAGATAGCCAGATCCTTCCCACAAACATGCTCTTTTACAACAACAACACACTGGATACTGGTAGACTAAGCTTAATAGACAATCGGACTCTAAGATGCCACAACATTACTCCCTCCTTGCAGATACAACTCATTCTCGACCTATAGTTCATGGAGGATATTTCTCATCATCGTCATCAGTTACTTCAAGGTAAAAAAGACGTTGGCATCAATGGCATCTGAAGAAACTTTCATCGCTATTGAAACACAATCATTTCCCCCTTTATTTCTTCCATCTCCACACTTGTCAATCGGCGGACCGTGTGTTCTTCTCCAGTAGGAGCTTTAGCATTCCATGAAGTACATAATTGTTGTCTGGTAGGCATGGAAGACTTCTCATTGGAGGTCAGAGCTATGATGGTTGCTCGTTGGTCATATGCACATCCTAGGCTCATGGCCACTTGTAGGTTAGAAGGGTTATGAAGCTCCACATTGACTCGTAGCAAACTAGTAAACCTGAATGTAAAATTTTAAACCAGCTACGACATTTAGAGGGGTTCACCAAAATAAAGTAGTGCTTGAAACCTCCTGATGTATTCGACACTCTTATCGAAAGGGCTACGATTGATCCCCTATACTTGTGGGTCATCAGTGATGTTCGGCAATTTGGTTTTCATCTTAGCCAACTCAAAAGAACATTACGATGATAGGTGATCATGACACACAACATGTTGCTTACTTTGGCACAAAAGGTGCCTCTCCGAGGCACCAAAGTTGTATCGAGAAAAAAGATTAGTCGAAAGCAACTCGAAAGAACACTGGGATGATATGTGACTGTGGTACACAGCCTAACCAAAAGTTGCTTAATGTAGTAACAAAGTTGCTTCTCCATGGCACCAAATTGTCCAAGAAAAAAAGTTTGTCAAATATATCAATATGGGATCTAGTTTCGAAGAGCTCGTCGCTAGAAACCTAGCGATGAAAACGGATCTTAATTTTGACGTTCCTTTCAAAATTTATGGCTTTAAATAAAACAATACTCACAATTTTATTTTATTACCATCAATTGTGTCGGGCTAAACTGCTACCAAAGGGCATACGAGCAATTCAAGAGGAATTGACGGGATTCTTTCTTGAAGTGGTCATAGCTAAAACCGCAGAATACCATCGGGGATTGGAATTAGATTTTGGTAATTAGATATTAGGGATCGTAAGAGACGTTATATTGTATATATGCATCAACGCGTACTATATAAGCAGCATCGAATATATATACAAAAACTTGTTGTTCGACCAAACACGGAGAAAGAGGTCACTTCTCTATATTCATGCCGATGTTGAACGTTTTATTCATTGCCATTAGTAGCTCGCCTAACAAAATGAAACCCCTAAACCCTTCAAAACCCCTCCCTTCAAAACCCCTAACCCCCTAAACCCACAAAAATTGTTACCAATTGGGACTAAAGGTCCTCCTGCCTGAGCGCAGCGCAGCGGCCGCGTGGAGCCCCTTTAGTCTCGGGCTGTAACACAACCGTGACTAAAAAGGATGGGCTTTAATCTCGATTGCTTAGTGTCAGTTGCACAACTGAGAGTAAAGGCACTTACGAACCAGGACTAATGTCCTGTTTTCTACTAGTGAGAGTATAGAGGAAGATACGGACAACCCTCAAAGTAAGTCCCTGTTCGGTATGTTGGAAAAGCAAAGGAAAACCCACAGGAAACACATTCCTGTGGAATCGCTGCGTTTTGTCCGTTCGGTATGAAGGAATAGGCTTGTGTTCCAATCCGATGGAAAGTTCTGATCTCGAGCGTTTTTTACGGGAAAGAAGACATCCACCCATAGCTCTTGTTTTCGCGTTGGCCCGAGGCAATCAGGGGAAAGGCTGCTGCGAACCATGCACAATTTGGACCCACATGCACGTGAACTGCAGCTAGTGCTCATCTTTCTAGCATTTAAAAAAATACAAGATAGGACCCACATGATTTGATTTCCTCCGTCCCAAACGGCAATTCTGTATGCAGCACAACTATTTTATTTCCTGTGTTTTGTACCTCTATTCCTTTCCGGTTTCTGGGGTTTCCCCCTATCATATGCTTTTCTTCCCTTTGTTCCAAACAGAGCCTAAAATGGAACCAAACGCGTGAGGTGGGTGGAGTTTCGATGACGTGAGAGAATAGGGAGTAGTGGAGAGCAACTTTTTAATAATGATAGATTAGTGTTATGTACAATCTTGAAGAAGAAAAAATAGTGTCGGGCATTCTTCGGACGTCTGCTAGTCCAGCTAGCTGAGCACATAAAAAACACATCATATTTCTATGGATCACTGGCCATACTGATATGGCGCCCAGTTCCATTTGTGCACCATGGCTAACATACAATGTGCTACTACTTCATTATATCCACGTACACAGTAAAGCACTGGTTGCATGCTTTGGATGGCATCCATGAGTTTCCAGTACTGAATCAGCAAAACCTCCTGACCGGTTCTACAAACCATCGATCAGCTGTGCTCTGACATGCCATGCACCGTCGATTCGCTAACAAGCGCACGACGCGTGCAATTGCCGAATAATTGATTCACTGGCATTTACGTCGTCACACAACAAAAATCGAGAAACAAATTGTACAGTCCAGGCATTCCGACAGCAAGCGAAAGAGGCAAGAACCCTGCACAGAGAAATGAGCAGCAGCAGCAGCCAAGGTTGGGGCTTGATCAAACAAAGCAGTTCAGCATCAGGAAACAAAATGCATTCCTGGCTTCCAAGATAAAGCCCCAGCCCAACTGCAAATAGTTGATGCAAACCACATCCCACGCGAAACATGCCATTGTTATAGCTTGCTCTGACAAGGTGTTGGATGCACGGAATGAAGTGATACCGACACTCGGAAGCATATCAATTTGTGCGGCTTCATAACCGATAGAACGGTTTAACGGATAACATCACACTTGGCATTCAAGGGCCACAAAACAATGTATGTACTTTCTCATCAAATACAGAACAAGCTGGTTTCAGCAAGACCAGCATCATGAAAATATATAGCATGCTTAACTGCCGTAAGGTTCCAAGATAATACGAACTTAAACGAGCTGAATACAAATTGGTTTCAACAGAACTAACATTATGATAATAAGGTTCCAAGATAATACAAACTTAAAGAAACTAACAGTTAGCAAAGCTCAAAAGTGGTATCTCCTTGCAAAGGGTGTGTCCTTTCAAAGGGGTCAGCTCGACCCAAATCATGGACACTAAGCTTCATATGGTAATTATAGCACCAATCGGTAGTAAAACGAATCCGAGCACCTCTTGAGGCCCTACTATCCACCTGAAGCTTCTTATGATGTTGTGCAAAAAACTCCTCGTTGAAATCTTCAACATTAACCTCAAAAGTCATTAATTCTAGCACGCGAGCGTTTAGTACAAAAAATGTGGCCAAGTCAACATGTGACTTAATTCCCCGATAATAATTCCATACGATAGTCTTCAGAGGGATGTCAAGTGATCTTATAAGAGTCCGGTGTTTACGACGCCATAAGTTGCTAATACCTGGTCCACTTGACTGAAAATGAACAAAGAAAAAACCAATCATTTCAGAACGGTAAATGAATCATGGGAGCAGTCGATACTAGATGAACCATCATCACAGAAGAATTATCACCTCAATGTACAACTTTTCCAAGCACGGAAAGCATCTCATCAAGTCAAGAACAGTATCCAAACTAAGAGCATGCATAAGAATAGCTAAAATCTTGACAGTGCGCACCGCTGTCGTCAGGCGATCAACACGCATTCACTTCATGGAGCATGGAAGATGACATTAGACCATCTATAAGTGCAGATGACATGTAATTCAGCGGCACATTGAAAGCAAGTAGGAAGGCCACAGCTACCTCAATAACTGTCGAGTCAAACGAGATTCTGGTACCATAATGAGAAGAAAGATAGCCTAAGGCCTCCAGTTTAGGCGCGGAGATCACCGATATAAGACGGCACTCGCATGAACCAAGTGTGAGCAAGCTTTCAAGACAAGGGGCATTCTCGATGATGAGTTCCTTAAATTTGGTCTCTGTCCGATTGCTATGACCGCTCACACCAATGCTTCTAAGGCTAATGGAGTTGATTCTGACACAACTGAAGCCCCCACTGTTCTGAATAAGCAAGCACTCCAGAGCAGGGCAAGCGGCAATCATGGCGTGCAGCGAGGATTTGGATATGCTGACCCTCTGAAGCGCGAGCTTCTGAAGCTTAGGGAAGTGAAGCGATTGAATGATGTCGTCGGTAAGGTGGCAATCTCCGATGATGGCAACAAAGAGCGTGTCGGAGAAGCGGAAGGCGGCCGAGGGCGGCATCTGCACCGTTGAGGGTGGACGCGGTAACTTGTGACTGAAGCTGCACAAAGGGCCCCTAGGGTTTCCCTAGGCGCCGCTCCCTCCACCCCTCCTCCCCTGCCGTCACCCGAGGGAGTCGTCGGGCTTCGCCTGGGCGACTGCTGATGACGGTGGCGGCGGGGCTTCGTCGCTTCGCTCGCTTGCGTTGGGCCCCGGAAGCCGGGCGGCGGCCCGGTTGGTGAGGCGGCGTCGTCCTTCGGCGGGCGGCACGCGCGGGAGGCGAGGGCCGGATCCCTCGGCTGCTCGGGCGGCGAGGTCCTGCGGGCAGTGGTCGCGGCGTGGCGAGGTTCTACCTCCTCTGCTCCAGATCTGAAGGACAGGTTCTCCCTCTCTCTGCTCTCCTGCTGGATTCCCCTGATTCCGGGCCTCTGATCCCCGGATCCGGTGACGTCCGGGTGCTCCCTGAGCTGGTGGTGCTGGACGAGCCCGGGGGAAACTCCTGTTGGTATTCCCAACACGGCGGCGACGGCGCCCCTTTTGCGTCGGTCTGCTTGTTGGAGTCGCAGCCGTGGGCTCCCATCCACACCCCGGCCATGCCTCCCGGGCGAAAGCTCAAATCCCGGCGTGGGATGGGCGGCGGCGGCGCCTGGTGCGTCGTGTCCTCCTTGGAGGCGCCGTCTGGGGAAGGTTGGTGCTTTGGGGGCGTGTAGCAGCTGCAGTTGGGCGCCTGGCGTCTGTAGAGTCGATGGCGTATATATTCGGTGCAGGTTTCAGATCCGGCCACAAGTTGCTCAGCGGCGGTGTTTTGCAATGCCCCGGCGGGTCTGCGCCCTCGAGACAGGGCGGAAGGGGATCGGGTTCCCCTTCCTGGCAACAGCAGCGCCGTTGGTGCTGATTTAGCCTGTTCTTGAATTCCTCGGACCTAATCTTCGCCATGGGGCTTGGCAGCTTCTTCCTTTCGGCGTCTCTCCCGGCGGCTTACCCTCTTCCATCGGTTCCCTACGGCGTCTGCGTCGCAGCCTCCGTGTGTGTGCTCCGGCGTGATGATGGTTGTGATCCATGGCTGGCTCGGACTTGAGGCCACCCTTGCTTTAGCTCTCGGGTGAGCGTCTCTACACTTTGACGGTTCGGCGCCTTCGAGCCTAGGCGAGGGGAAGGGTTCCTCTTCGGTGTTAGAGAAAGCATGTGTTATGCCTTCTCCAGTTCCTGGTTTCAGTCATGTACCCGACCTATTCTAGCGGCTGCAGATCCTCGTGGCTTCTTCCGTAGTCGTTTCAGGGCCTTTGTGTAGTGGGCTTACCCTCAATTAGCTGCACTTCAATGTAATTTTCCGTTCGTTGGTTGTCGGTGTAGCGGTGTCTTTCGCTTTGTTCGTGGTCTGCTCTTGTACTCCTGGCCGGTTGATGGCTTTGTTAATTCAAAGTCGGGCTCCTCTGGAGCCTCCGTTCCAAAAAAAAAAAAAAAGCTGCACAGCTCGAGCTCCTGGAGGTTGTCGAGGGCGGGGGACTGGAGCCAGGCATCCGCTCGGTCGCCGGCGAGGTGGTAGACCGGGGCGGAGAAGCGGCGGCCGGGGCCCTGATGGGCGGCGAGGACGCGCGATATGATGACATCGAGGCCCTCCTCGTCGCGTAAGAAGGAACGGTGATCGAGGTTGAGCGGGGCGGTGCGCCAGAGGCGGCGCCACCGGGAGGCGAGGACCTGGGTGCGGGCGCCTTCCTTGGTGGGGAGGAGCGAGACGATGTCCCCGAGGACCTCGTCGGGGAGGTCGCTGATGCGATCGACGCCGGCGCCTCCTCCGTCCCCATCCGATCCGGGCACCTCGTGTGCTGTTGCTTTCCTCTTCCTTAACTTATAACCAGGAGTGCCTGCCTCCGCCGCCATGGCTGGCGGTTTGCGGCGGGGATGGAAGAACACGCGAGGAGGAGGAGGAGGCTGGCGTCGACGCCCAGCGCTAGGCCGCCGCCGCCGGAGCCGACGCGATCAGAGGGGGCATTTTTTGAGATCAGAGAGGTGGGCGGCGGCGGTTTTGAAGGAAATGGGTGGGAGCGTGGCGGATCACGGAAAAATGAATTCGAAGCCCACTCACAGCCTGACCCAGTCGGCCCAGCGTCTGCTAGCAATCGTTTTTCTTTTTCTTTTTTGGTTTGATAATATTAATAGTCCGGTACCAGTCGTTGCTGATATGCTGTTAAAAAAAATGCTGCCGATGATTTTCTTTAGGTAGCTGATACATTGGGCGACACATCATTTTTCCAATGTGCAGATAGATATGCCCGTGGTATTGATTCAGTGACAAGTGCCAATACGCATCAGAAGCGATTAATTCAGTAACAAGTTTACATTGTTCCGTCTTCGACATTTATATGATCAGCCCGAAACAAATTGGCAAACAAAGAATATATACAGTCAAGGAATTCTGAATCTAACAGCAAACCATAGCGGGTAACCGACCTGCACACAGAAAGGAGCAGCAGCCAACGCTGGGGCTTTTTTTTTATCAGAGCAGTTCTAACATTAGGACCGGTTATCCTGGAAACAAAATGGATTTCTTGGTCCCAAGATGAAGCCACCCGCTCAAGTGATAGATCCACACCGACACCGCAAAACTTTTATGTAAAGTGGAGTCATCACACAACATTCTGAATGTGCAAGCAACTACGTTCACAAGCAAACACAGCTATGCCTATACCTAGCAAAACGTAGCACTTGATGTGTCTACCAAAAAGGAGCATCCAAATTACAGTGTGTAAGACATGCTCACAGATAAATACATAACCATTTGTTACCTCTTCAGTTTCTCATTCTACCTCATACAGAAACAAACAATTTCATGCCAACCATTGTTTGTAACCTACAAAAGCATATTACTAAGGATTCGCTTCCCAGCCAGAATCTGTCTTACGCCCCCATTGTATCTCAACAGGTGGGTATTCTAAAAAGAAGAGCTGTTTGCACCAACATTCCCAACTGGTAAATATTTACAATCTGCTCAAATAGCAACTTAATTAAGTTCTCCTATGGTAATATGGCATTGCCTCAAAATTTGAAGTTCAGGCTGGCATGCTGCCACAGATGATCAATAACAGGTACACACTGGTAGCACATCTCAACACGCTGTTGGATGAATAACGCACTGAAGAGAGGGATATTCTGGGTAAGGCACACACCCCTAACTAGCACCGAGCTACTTCCGTGGATCTTTCAATATCCATGACAATCCTTGTGGCCTCGATGACAATCTGCCCGTCCAGGTAGTGCTGCCTGCACACAGGCATATACACATCGGCTCCACCAATGAGTTCAGTCCTGGTTTCCTGTGTCTTCCTCAATGTGAAGGACGCCCGGCGATCGCACAACTCACACCGTGCTGTCAGCTTGGTGACCGAGTTGGCCAGGGGAATGATGTCCAGCACTGAGCCAAACTTGTTCCTGTGGAATAACTCGGTCATCAAACAGTAGGCATGATTAAAAAAAAGAATTGCAATACCTTCTGAATGAAATTTGGACCATTTGGATGATTTTATCTATATAACAGCCTTAGATTCAGCAAATGGCCAAGTCATAGGGAAACTAAACAAGTTACAAGATAAATCATTCAGCAAGTACCTTTTGTAATCACCATCTAGCCCTGCAACCACAATGATTTTTCCATCATGATCAGCAGCTTTGCTGCAAAAATCATGAAGATCATCGAAGAACTGGGCTTCATCGATACCTATGACATCTACCTGTAGCAGCAAATTTTGATGAGATTCTTACAGACAACCAAAACCAACAGCTTCAATACCACCATGCTACACAATGACATGAAAAAACCAACAGCTCTTATCTCAACCAGCATTGGCTGGCTAAAGCTTCCAGGCCATTTCCCATAGCAACGGTACAGATAGGAGGTGGTACCATCTCACATAGCAACTGTACGATAAGTTGTGATGATAACCAGATAAAAGAAAGTTCGCACAGACAGGTACTCCCTCCGTCCCAAAATAAGTGTCTCAACTTTGTACTAAATTTAGTACATTTTGAGACTCTTATTTTGGGACGGAGGGAGTATTCTTTAAGAATGGCTGAATAACAGATTAGCTAGTGTCAACCCATATCATTGACAATTTACTAAATCAGGTGAGTAGATGAACTCTAAGCATGACAAACTGCCTCCTGCTATCATGTGACAAAACAAGGTCCTCTGATTACAAGCTCGTCAATTTTCAACATGGGATGCTTTTAGTCGAAGTTTTTGTTGTTTGATCAGTAATGGCTTCTCAGGCATAGACTGTTCAAATAAACACAAGTACATTTGGCAATTTATACAGGCTTGCAAATATATTATTTAAAAACAAATGGCTACCAGCAACCATGAAAAGTCAACCATAACATATTTTGATTGGAGGCAGTAAGTTTTCCAGTCAACTACCTTGCCACAATTACTCAATGTTCACTTCTTTCACAAACCTCAGCTAAA